CTACGTCACACCAGACCCTATCTCACGATCATGTAAAATGTGAAAAAACGTAGACAACAAACACTTTGAGGATGTACAGATACTTTGATTTAATCTTAAATTTCTAGCATTGTATAAATTCATTTTTTCACATCCTACATGTATTTGTAAAATTTAAACAATGTTTATTCTTAATATTAAAATTAATTGGTGATCGTGAGATGCGGTCTGGTGTGACATAGATTTTAGAAAAACATTTTCTTTGTCGTGCCCACGTTTCGATCTTTATTGAGATCATCTTCAGTGCTCACAGTGTTTGTTTTCCGTGTAGATGAGTAATTCTTGTCTCTTGGGCACTCTCAACACGACAGAGAAGAATGACACATCAAAACGGAAAACAAACACTTTGAGCCCTGAAGATGATCTCAATAAAGATCGAAACGTTGGCATGATAAAGAAAATGTTTTTCTAAAACCTACGTCACACCAGACCGCATCCCACGGTTACCAAATAATTATAATATTAAGAAAGTTATGGCTACCAGTCACTTAATGTAACCCTATTCGTGAAAATCCTTAATCTATTATGCGAATACTTTTCCAAACGATTTCAAAAGCATTTAACCTTTCGTTAACGAAAAAATCCAATCCCGCCTACCAGGTGGATTTTCTTTAGTGTAAAGCCCGCATTTAGGTTCGACGGTCTATTCAACATAATTACGAAACTGACATTGCACTGGATTCACTTTCCAACCCTGGTGAGAACACATTTATAAAATGGATGTTTCCACTTCTGAAAGCAAATCACAAACAGGAATGCGGTCTGTGGAAGTTCTGCCTTTTAACGAGTGTGACACCCAATTGCCATGACCATTATAGCAATTTTCACAAGGAAGGATTTTCTTTCCTTCTTTTCAATTTTCGATGTATAGTGCAAACTTTAATAACAAAATTATAGTTTATTATTATTAGTTTTTGGCAGTAGTTACAATTATCTAAAATTCGGTAACAAATAACACTGTGGGAACGTATTACATATATCCAATTTCATACAAATACGATTGAGAAGAAAAAATGGAAATAATAGTTGATAATAAATGAATAACTAATTAAATAATATTTTGTATAAACAATTAGGAACAAGAATTGATCAACAACCCATTCGCAACACTTCAATGATACTACAATATTGTCTATTTAATTAGAACTATGTCACTATGTCACGAGGAGTCTTGTTGAGAAATCTTGGTGCTTTAAATTGTATGAGGTTTTATTAAAATAGGATTAATGATATAATGAAAGAAATAGAAAAAATATATAGTCATGTGTCACGATAAATAAGTAAAATTTTTATATCAAGATAACATTTCCTAAATATTTGTTTTATGAATCATTAAATTTCTTCTAAAATAGCATAAAATGCTTAACTTCTATTTTTTCAATAATTATTTAATTATTATTTGGAGATCGTGAGATGTGGTCTGGTGTGACGTAGGTTTTAGGTTTTAGACAAACCTTTTTTTTTATCGTGCCAACGTTTCGATCTTTATTGGGATCATCTCCAGGGCCTGGGATTTATAAACTTGTTTAAATTACACAAATACATGTACATGTAGGATGTGAAAAAAAAGAATTTATACAATGCTAGAAATGCATTTTGTTTCACATCCGACATGTATTTATATAATTTAAACAATGTTTTTTGCGGTATGGTGTGACGTAGGTTTTAGAAAAACATTTTCTTTACTGTGCCAACGTTTCGATCTTTATTGAGATCATCTTCAGAGCCTGGGATTTAAAAAACATTGTTTAAATTATATAAATCCATGTCGGATGTGAAAAAAATGAATTTCTAGCATTGTATAAATTCTTTTTTTTTTCACATCCAACATGTACATGTATTTGTGTAACGATAAAGAAAATGTTTTTCTCAAACCTACGTCACACCAGACCGCATCTCACGATCTCCCAATAATCATTAACTAAAGGTCACTAAACACCACACAAATATTATTTAATTATTGGGTTATGTTTTAAATCATTACACCCTTTTATTTACTCTATACATGAGTAGGTACGAGGTACGAAAAAACAGTCCGCTGACAGATAGATTACAGCCATCGTGTCAAAAATAACACCAAAGGTAGGACTGACAGCTTTAAAAAATACAAAAGCCGCTCTCAGAACAAATGTATGAAAATATTTTTACAGTTTCGACCTTCACAAATGACATGCGATGTGGTTTTGATTTTACTTATGTCAAAAATAAAATGCAGATGAGGAAAACGCTAAGCAATTTCTGTCTTCGAGTCAAATTAATGCTTGTTTAAAACGTGTTATTTTGGTAAAGGTTTCTTAAAAGTCAAGGCTTGTTCTCAAAACCCTGAAAAATTATTCTTTCTATATATAATAGTTATTCTTATAATTATATAATGTAGAAGCCTTTATTCTTATAACGCGTTGGTGAATCATGATTAAAAAACTGAGAAGACCGTTTAAGGTTTAAGATGTAAAAATGATACCAGATCCCTTTTTAAAGGACCTTACTAAGGACATCGACCCTTCCGCTTAGCCTTGACGTCACGAATTATCAATTCCTTCGTTCATGACCTTCGTCATCCCCGCTAGAGCTTTACACGATGCAATAATCTGCAATGACGTAAATAGCCTAGGGCGTCTTACTGATCTCTCAGAGTGGATAATTAATTATTGCTATGTTTCTCGGCTGAGGGTGTAAAAGAAGTTAGGGTTAGGGATTGTTTATTTTATTCAGTAAAAATGAGCAATGTACATGTTTTATTCTAGTTTTTCCCCCTTGACGATGATTCATTCAGTTAAATATGGGAGAAATATGAACGACAGCGAGTTTTTGTGAAATTTTTTAATCATTATTATGTTACTTTTTTTTGACAGGGGCATCCGACAGCTTGTTTCAGCCCCGTAGCACGAAAAAATACGGCTAAACACCCGATACACAATCACACCAATAAATACATTCATACCTATATGCATTGGTCGCACTCATACTGTTTGGTAGATGCAGACTCGATATTCCTCCATACTACAATAAACTACTCTAACTTGGGATCGATGGGATGCTTTAAAAGTTTTCCGCCGTAGACCCAAGTTACGCACACAACATGAAGGGCAATGGAGATGCTACTTCACCATCAGCCCCTCCTCATTCACACCAATAAATACATTCACACCAACCTACGTTGATCGCACTCATTCTGTTTGGTAGATGGAGTATTCCTCTACCTTCTATGGGTAGATGGTAGATATTACTCCATCTACCTGTTACCTATAATAAACTAATCTAAATTGGGGTCGATGGGGTATTTTTGTAAAATTTCCGCCATTAGCCCAAGTCATACACATAACCTGAGAGGCGATGGAGAAGCTACTTCGCCATCAGCCCCTCCCCATTCACACCAATACATTCACTCATACGAGATACAGAAATACAAAACACATAACTTAACTTCTATATACAATAAAAGGTGACCGCGGTAGCCGAGTGGTTAGCATGAGAGACTCTCACGCCGCGGTCGTGGGTTCGATTCCCACCGTCGCCTCTGGTCCTTTTTTCCCGATAACCCCCAATTTGAACACACAAAGAATTCGTACCATGGCTAATATGCAAGATCATAAGGCAAAAAAAAAACCATATAGGGAAAGAAACTTATCACTACAACATAAATGATTAAAGGCGGGGTGAGTTGTTTAATTTTTAATTTGTTATATGATATGAATTAAAACCTTTCAAAACAATCCATGAATATTTCACCACAAAGTGAGGATAAGGGAGACCCCATTGTAACCGATTTATTTCATTCAATTTATTATTAAAGTTAGAATAATTAAATTGTAGGAATGTGTTTAATAAATACTATATCGTATTTTACAAACTAGTTAGTGGAGATCTCCATAAGTTTTTGTTTTATTGGTTTAGAGCATTTTTTTAGAACAGATAAACAGAGATTTAGAACAGGAATATTTATAAATAAATTAGTAACATCAAAAGGCACTAAAACAAAGTTGTGATAACAACAAACACCATAATACCAGCAGATTATTCTCATTCATGGAGCCATAAAGCCGGGAAGACACTTACCCGATGCAACGCTATGCGATGCTACCCGACGCCGTCTCGTTTTGGTAGGGTGTGCACATCTATGCGACGTCAAACGCACGCCACGTACAGTCACACAGCGTGTATCACAAATCAGTATCACAATCTTAATGCAATATTTTGAGCAAAACCATGTAATGAATTGTTAGTTAAATTTTTCTTCCTAACCATCATAATTAAATAATTTTTATAACAACTCATGAATTTTTGAGCTCGTTTGATTTGGTTTACATTAAAATAAGCATGTTATAATTAATATAACGACAAAATTACATATGCATAGTTCAAAATAAACTACAGACAATATGAGTACCCGGTTCTGATGCTACTCGACAAAAATGGTGTAATGTTATGAGGAAAACAATGTAATAAATTGTAAGTTAAATTTTATGAAAAAATCTATGAAATAAATTGTTAGTTAAATTTTATGATCATAATCGTGAAATAAATTTTAGTTAAAATTTATGAGTAATCCATGAAATAAATTGTTAGTTAAAGTCATTCTATCAATAAATGGTATTCCAGTGTTTGGATCAATTCTCTGCCAAATCATTAAAATTAATTTTTTTTCAAATAAATACTAATGAATTTTTCATCTCGGCTAATTTGGTTTATATTAAAATAAGTTTGTTGCAATTAATATAACGACAATAATACATGTAGTTTGAATAAAAATATGAGTATCCGGTTCTTTTGTCTTGCATTATTTTTTTTGGGTAATAATTTTCATTGGATTAATTGAAAAATAGTAATAATTGTTTATTTTTGTGCTCTCTTTTTGTAGGATTTTTTCAGCTTGATTATAAAATCTTCTTAAGCTTTCCCTACGTTTTATTTTTTAGTATATGCACTTCGACTCTTTCCACCTCCTCCTCAGAACATTTTTATTTTCAATCTCAACAACCTATGATCAAGAATACTTACAATGGATAATTATTAAAAACCAATACCTAGAACGTTGCAAAAATGGTTATAGTGACAGATAAAGTGTTAGAAGTGTAAGTTTGTGACTTCAGCTAATTATATTCTAATATTTGGGGTGAAAAAAATTATTTTCTAACTAAACGTATATTTTGTAACATTGAAATAAAGTTGATTTTTGTGCAATCCAAAAAACGTGTGAACCAAATTTCTTTGAAAATCAAATTGTTATGCAGATGCCACATGGTACTGCGCAATAAAATTGATGAAAAGCTTTACTAATCAAAATAAGACTACGATAGCATTAATAAAATTTCTAATTTTTAAACAGTTATTGTTTCTATTAATAAATAATAACATTAAAAATTCTATAACGTTTCCTCTATTGATCCAAATTAGATGTATATAGAAATATCATATGTTTTGTCATTTCAAAATTATTTTTCGTTACCGACAAAATGTAGTGGGGAGAGTTTAGAATTTAACACTAAAGTCTATATGTTAACCTGATGGCATGTATATAATAATCATTTCTTTATTTGATCAAATATAGTTTTTAGTTGTCAATTTAAAAAAAACTTGTTCTGCTGGGGTGCACATGTTTTTAAGTGGACAATTGTGCTAAATAAAAGTTACAAACGAGGGAAGAATATAATTCCATTTTTTATGTATTTTTCTTCTTTTTGGGAATACAATTGCATACGAAGTTCCAACACATTACACACTTTCCGGTCTGATCGTAACCCTTTGCCATAGCCTTGAATTTTCCATAAACAAGCGTCTTTAGTCGTTCGCTAGCCTGGCTTAAGTTCAAGTTGGTTATATTGTAAACACCCTGCAATTTATACGATTAGCGATCCTCTAGATTTGCAATATTTTAGTTTTTACTCACCACGGGTACAGGGCAAGGATGGTGTAGAAAGGAGAAAAGATCATTTTTGAATTTCAACGTATACTTTTCCAATCCAGAGCATAAGCCGCCTACTTCCCAATTATAGAAGTTTGGCTTCCATCCACCGTTTCCCCAAGTAGAAATATCAACCATCATCTATTTTTGTTTAAACATTTATTTAAATTGTAGCATCCATCTGTTAAACTTACATACTTTTACGTCGTCACTCCAAGGAATCGTTAAATTTAATTCTCCAGAGTAGAAGTAACTTGTCCTGTTGAGCTTTCTTATTTTGTAATTTGTAAAAAAGATTTTCGTTTCTTCGCAATCTGAAGGGCTACATTTTCCGAACTCCAATGGAATTAGCTCGTAAGGACCCTAAGAAAACATATATTTAACACACCCGTTTTAACAATGCTTTAAGAAAAACCCACTGACAGCAAATTCGGCAAAAGTTGCACAGACCAAATGGAACAACAGTGCTAGAAATTTGTTCGTACTTGTCATGGTGGCACTCGAAGTACTATAGACAAATAATGGGAACGAATGGACGCCGGAAGAACGTGCCCTTGATTATTTCTGTGTTTTTCCTATCGCTACAATGTATCTTACATTTTATTATTTGCCAACAATACAAACAACACCAATATATAACATCTCTCTCTGTAAAAGCTGGAAACGTAAATGAGAGGCAAGAGTCTCATCTCAACTTCTTTTGCATAATTTAGTCCACTATCAAAAGTACAAATTAAGATACTTTTTGTTAGGAACAATTACAACAAGTTTTCTATTTTTATAAGAATTATTTTCTACGCATTTTTCTTTTATTTTCCATTCTATTTTAAACCCATGTTTGTCGTACACCTCGACAGGGCTACATATAATTGCCTATGTGTAAATATTTTGTTTTTTGAATTTATAACAAACCTATTTTCTAAAAACTTTTGACTTATTTATGGTCATAGCAAATGCTAGACAGACTGGGAATTACAACCGTTTCAAAATAAAAGGCTTTCGGTATTTCCTTGTGTGGCTAAATATAATCGAGGGATGTGCAAGGGATATTCATGATCTTTGTGTTAACCCTGTTAACTTTGTTACGTCCTTTTAGATCGAGAAAAATGATGACGTTAACTTGTAAGAATCGGCTAGTTAACATTGCTCGATCTAACAGCCAGAACCAATGTTAGGTGTGTCGAAAATGTAGTCCCTTTGCTAGCCGTTAAGGCGTAAGTAACCAACATGGCAGCCATGAATTTAACAGCTGTTTTTTTTTTTTTACACGTCTTTTTATTCTTAAATATGCATTAATTAAATCAGACCAATACATTTCTTATTTAATTTCTGACCTATAATTATACCCTAATTCTAGTAGATACATCCCATATCCTATAAAGTTGTAGGCTGGTAGACGTTAGGATACAAGTTAGGTATGTCTGCACGAAGTGAAGCGTGTCATTTGTTAGTACTTTTCGAGTGGATAGTGATGGATTCATTTTGAATGAAAGAATTGATTAATTTTCCGGTTTTATTAATTTATTTTTATTAACGTCTTACAATTTAACACAAAACAAAACAAAAACAAACAACAACAAGCCTTTTTTTTAACTTTCCTTTAAGTAAAGCTAATTTATGGCCTTAAGTTAATCATATTAGCCAATGATTTAACAACAAGCCTTCGAGGACTGTTATAACTTAATTTTTGGTTCTACAAATCGCCACGCGCAGCATTGCGGAAAAATTAACGTTTAACAAGCTAAGAAAGGAGTGGGGCCTTCACGATCTTACTGGACATTTCTCGATTTGAGCTAACACGAGTTAACATCTTACAAACATCGTGAATACCCCTAATATCTCTCTTTTTATTTCCAGTTAATATTTCCCAGTGTCAATTTTTCTTACTAACAAACGGTTCCCTTTACACAAACCATCTCCTACGCGTAAGTTTCTCAATAGCATAATTATACAGCTTGTTGCAGGTCTGCAGGATGCAAACCCGATGGTGCCATTAATTGTAAATATTCAGTGGAATATTGTAAACTTACTTTTTCATTGTCGTCTTTGTCATCTGCTAATGACTCAGCACAATGAATGTGATCTATGGAACACACTTAACCATTCCCCTGGTAGTCGTTCCATAATGAGATGATTGAGTTTTTTCACTTCATCATTTCTAGTTGCCAATGTAGCTCTATAGAAATGATGAAAGGTGAAGGGAGTGCGGTGTTCAATCCTTTGGAGTACTACAGCCTTATGATGAGCTAAAAGCTCGAAATCCGGTCGTTGATCACAACGTACTGTGAGTAGGAACTATGCTGTTAAAAGGAATGTAGCTCTACTACTCATTTCTTCCTCAGATAAAGCTAATGGATAAAACTCTTCTATTAAATTATCGCATAACTTTCCCGGGGTATTTCAAGATTTTTTATGACATTATTTCCGATATCTAATAGCCAATCTGAGAATTCCATGGAATCACCATCCGTATATTCCCGGACAATTTGAATTGTTCAAAGCAATTCCATAACAAATTATTTTTTTAATGTTTCATAAATTTGTTTCATGCCGCCTTTTTTTAAGATGATTAAAACGTATCAATAGACACCACCAAGCATAAAAATTGTCCGAGCAAATGCACGATCTTCATTAAAAACATCTCTAAACGTTTTAAAAGATAGTAGCTGTTACAGCTTGGAGAATCATCGACGCTTCACCCCAGATGGAAATGTCGGTTTCTCGGAGTTCATTTTACGTGACCAGTTCAGTGTGCCGCGCTTTTCGACTAAATTTAATGGTAACCCGAATGTTTTATGTCCTGTCCATCCATAAGAGAGAAGACCTGCCGCTATTCCTGCTCATGAAATAGTTTTTGCCCAAATGTCTACAGAAAGGTGTCAGGCATTTGCATAAAAATATCTTAACGCTACCTCCAAGTCCCTCAACAAAAAACCTATTTTGAGAGCTACTCGTTTCTCCAGTTACGGGCAATTTACTGGTAGGTATCGAAAACTTTTTTTGCATAGATTCATAAAAATGAATATATGATCATAACTCATGGCGTAGATCTTCGTCGATCGCAATTTCTTTCGAGATTTCTTAAATAGACAGTTGCCGTCGGCAGTTCGTTCAATTTAACTCGGTTTGGCCCTGAGAAAGGCTGATTAAATCAGCTTAAGTTTAGCCTTAAAAAGGATTAATTGGAATTTGATTTGGACATGTTGCCAGGCAAACGCAAAATGAAATACAGAATATCTGTTCTCTCGAGAAAAAAAATAGAGAGATATGGAAGAGATGTTACTATAAAAAAAAACTACCGTAACTGCGCGAATTGTAATCTGTTTTTAGAGAATTGTTTATTCGATTGGTCTTAAAAAGCTGTTCAATACTATGCATAAAAAGATACAGACCTCGAGGAAAATCTTTAAACCATCGAAAAGCCATCCCTCGAAGTTTTCGCTCAGATGTCAGAACTGCTCATTGTACATAAAAACAAGGTAATCCTTCTATCCAATCAAGTTTACTACCGTTGGCTGTACTTGTGAAGCAGACTTTCATAAACTCACATGCTAGACAAACCAGATAAGAACTCAACAAAAAACTAAGACACATATTCATCCATAAAAATATAATAAAAAACCGACCACTTACAAAATACTTATTAGACCGATTTGAATGACAGGGTCGAGCTGTGTGGTCCACCAATATCTAAACTACTCCGCCGTAACTTCAACGCTTCTTTATATTTGCCCAACTAGCAATTCAAAAAGACTTAGATGTCCCATTCGTGGTGGATTTCCTCAACGTCCCACTCTTTTAATCTACCATACAGTCTAAAACGACAATGGCTTAGTGACCAGTTATCTTGACCCAATCCTAGTCCCAACGTAATAAAAGAAAGTTCCAATACTAGGAGTATTCACGATCTTTATGTTAACCCTCTTAAGGCTATTAGGTCCCGTTAGATCGTTAGATGACGTAGACTTGTAAAAATCGGCTAGTTAACATTGATCTAACGGGCCAGGACCAATGTTAGATGTTACGTCGAAAATGTAGTCACTTTGCTAGCCGTTAGGGCGTAAGTAACCAACATGGCAGCCATGAATTTAACAGCTGTTTTTTGTTTACACGTATTTTTATTCTTAAATACGCGTCAATTAAAGCAGACCAATACATTTCTTTTATTAATTTCTGACCTGTCCTTATACTCTCAATCATAAAAGATACATCCCCTATCCTATAAAGTTGTAGGATATTAGACGTTAGGATACAAGTTAGGTATGTCGGCATGAATTGAAGCGTGTCATTTGATAGTACTTTACAGTGCATAAATAGCATTTTGAATGAAAGAGTTGATTAATTTTCTTTTTTTGTGAACGGCTGGCATCTTACAATTTAACATAAGCGAAAACCAAAACAAACAACAACAAGCCTTCAAAGGCTGTTATTATAGCTTTATTTTTGGTTGTATCAATCGCCCCGCGCTGCATTGCGGAAAAATTAATGTTTAACATGCTAATAAAAGAAGGGGACTTCACAATCTTACTGAACATTTCGCGATTCGAGTCAACACGAGTTAACATCTTACACTCATCGTGAATACCCCCTATTATCAGCAATAAGTAGGATGTACAGAACGAAAGTCACTTTTTACTTGAGGCCTTAATCTGTAATTTTCCTTTTTTATTAACTTCTGGCATCTTACAATTTAACACAATACAAAGCCATAACAAACAAACACAAGCCGTCAAGGAATGTTATAGCTTAATTTTTGGTTCTACCAATCGCCATGCGCAGCATTGCGGAAAAATTAATGCTAAGAAAAGAAGGGGGCGTTCACGATCTTACTGGACATTCTCTATTCGAGTTAACACGAGCTAATATCTTACAAACATCGTGAATACCCCTAATGACTGAGCCATCGCAAATTGACAGATCTGCTAAATTTGTATATATGGACATGCAATAATTCTTCTATACAATTTATTTGTAAACATAGCGTAAATAAATAATAAAAATTACAATTAATTAAGGTTTTTAGTTGAGATGAAAAAAAGTTAATGGCACGAGAGGGATTCGAACCCACGACCTTCAGCTTGATACGCCGCTGCTCTACCACCTGAGCTATCGTGACCTCGATCCACTCGGACATGAACTCCCCATCTCAACCCCACCTTATGAGTTTTGCCATTTTTCAAATGTCGTGTAATCGGTTTGGATTCTCGATGACAATTGAAATGGCGACGGAGAGCTTTAGTGAAGTGTACTTCAGTTAATTCATTAAATTCACTAATTTCGTGTTGAGATGGGGCGTTGATGTCCGAGTGGATCGAGGTCACGATAGCTCAGGTGGTAGAGCAGCGGCGTATCAAGCCGAAGGTCGTGGGTTCGAATCCCTCTCGTGCCATTAACTTTTTTTCTTCTCAACTAAAAACCTTAATTAATTGTAATGTTTAATTGGTCAAGCGGACCACGAAATTAGTGAAAATGATAAAAATATTTACATACATGACTATTAATTTTTTTAAATCAATTTTATTCTTTATTGTTA